TGGTTTTAGTGCTTTTTCAAATTCAAAACTTGGCAACACTGCTCTTCAAGCCCATTGTGCGTGAGACTACTTACATACATACATACATACATACATATGTACACATCGTCACCTGAAATGCAAAAAGACGTAACAAACATCATCGTTGAAATGCAAAAGGTCATAATTAATAAAAAATTTAAAATTCACTTTTTGATTTATATAATGGATTTCATCGAATTACAACTTCCCACAACATTTTATGAAAAAAAAAACTAAAATATTAGTTACGTCTTTTTGCATTTAAGGTGACGAAATATAAATTTGTAGTCATTTAAGCAAATAATAAAATATTCTCTTTTGATGCGCGGGCACATACAGTTCCACACGAGTAATTATGTACCGGCACGCACTTTGCCTTTACCGAACAGATGAAACTAGCGATCAGCTAACGCACACTGGCTATAGCCACAAGCGGCATAGAGTATTACGCACGAAAATGTTAAGCGATAGAGAGGCAGAAATTCGGCTATCGGCTCTGGTGTCAATGCACTTTGTACGCATAATTTTTGCGAATTCGCCAAATTAATATATTTTTTTCTATTTTCAACAATTTTCTTTTTCCTTTTGTTTTGTTTACTACTTTCTGAGAGTGCTTCTTCACGCTTTCGCTGCCGGTAAAATAGAGAATATGCACAAACAAATATGTAAAGTTTAGCGTCGCTCGTTATTATTGGGTTGCCTTCAGTTGTGCGAATTTGCCAAATTCGCAAAATGTGCGTTGATGCGTACAGTGAGTAGTGACCTAATTAGCGTTCGTTGAACCTTCCTCAAGGTAAATTTGTCTATCGCTTCCGCAATCTTCCATAGCTTACGCATAGTTATAGTTAGTTGAGGCGCGAGATCATCGCTTTGTTGGGTAGATTGAATGGAAGGCGGGGGGGAAGTCGTTTTGACGTTGAGGAAGCTTTGGGTAGCGTGCACAGCTTTGCAAGTGGTTGATCAAGCGATCGGGCAGCGTTGTTGATCTACTTTTTTCCATGCGCACATACATATGTATGTATGTACAATGAGAGCGGACTATTAAACAGTTGCTACGCATATTTAATGACCTTTTAGCTTTTTATGTAGTGAATATTGCGAAAATTTTGCAAACTTTTCGCGTTCACGTGTTGACTTTTTTAGGGTACGCGTGTAGCAGTTCAATAGCCTCAAACCTTTGGGATGACGATGAAATTTTAGTTGATAGAATTACAAAACCAAACTGTATTTTTACGAACTAGGCCATTATTATACTACATACATATGTACGTATGTATACATACATAAAAAATATATATATTCAGTAAAATCAACTGCTTTGTACTTCCTTGATTCCACGAGAATTCGATTCGAGTTGAACAGTTCAATAAAAGTTTCGAAGCTTTTGAAGTTTCTTGACTTCTGCCTTTTGAACATACCGACATACATATGGATATTGTGGGTGTTCACAACTGTCTGGTTATCGGGTATTAAGTTTACCAAAAGAACATATTTCAGAGTACAATAATTTTTAACCAGATATATTATATATTATATTATAACCAGGAAGATGTGAATACCTTAATTGTTCTTGTCGCACATATTGAGGAAGATTGTACAGCTTTGGTCAAAGGAACTTCATATAAATTCATTTTTTGTGTTTTATTATTTTTCTAATTTAAACTGTTACATTTCTTAGAGAAGGCACTGTATGGACATTTATTCTGTTATTTTTTTCTTAAAAAAAAGTTTTAAAACTTTCCACCTGCAGTACAAAAATTTTTACCAGCCTAAAAGTTTTATTTCAAATGGTCTCGGAAATTAATTTGTCAAATATTATGTAAATTTTTATATTATTTAAAATTTGTAAAGCAAATCAAACGAAATATTTATTGCAAATTTACTAACTCAATTGTTGTTTTTTTTTGTCCTTTACAGAAATGGCGGAAGGCAATGGCGAACTGGTGGAGGACATCAATCAAAAATCAGAAGATCGCGGGGATGGTGAAAGAACGGAAGATTACCCAAAACTCTTGGAATATGGCTTAGATAAAAAAGTAAGTTAAAAAAAAAACGTTGCTGAATTAAATACATAAAGTAGAATGAAATAAAATAATATTTTGGTTGGAGTAAAAAGGCCCAGCATATGTACATATGTTCGCTGCAGCTGGTGTTAGTGCCAGATACCGTAATGGTTTTTATTAGAAAAAATTATTATTAAATATATTATAGGTATATTTAAAAACTTTATTTTTTTTAAAAAAAAAAAAATAGTTTTTCTTCAAAGCTTCAATAGAATCTTCTTGTGTTTCTCTAAAGGGGCGATAGTGAACTAACGAATACAAAAACTAGCATGTACACCAAGGCGAATTTATACAAGGTGGTGTTACTAGATCAGCTGATTTTGTGCGTATATGTCGCCTCAGGGTTTAGAACGGTGGTGGTCACCGGCTTGCTCGCGAGCAAAGCTCCTTTAAGCTTAGTATAGAAAGCTTGAAAGGGCTTTGCCAGCGGGCAAACTGATGCCCACCACCGGTTTACAATGTCAAATTGAAATACTTTATTTGCATTTCCACACACACTCTTACGACAGTTCATGCCGCAAAAGCAAAAATAAAATACATGTCAATACACGTCAGGCACTGGTGTAAACAAATCCCGTAAAAAAATGCAATCCAGTAACTGGATTGTTGGTCTAATTTTCAATTCAGTGTCTCAATACCAGTACAACTGGAATAGACAGTCGTCATTCAAGTCCAGCATTCGACTGGCATATACCACGTAGAATAATATAAACAGGGCATTATGTATGCCACAAAGGACGGACGCAGCCTCTGAATGTTGCAAGATTGCCCTCTTGGGCTGATTGGGCAAGTAGCAGTCCAATTGTAGGCCTATCTCCGCGCAACAAACTTGGCACGACTTCGGAAGCCAATAGCTCGCTTTAACATAATATGCCATAAATTTTATTGCACAAAAATGAGAATTGTATAAAATATCCTCTGGTTCTCACTCAGAAGCACTTGTCCCTTCCAGTACTCTCAGTTTGTTGTTTCGCATAGCAACGCTTCTGGCAAACACTCTGCCGCCAGCCTTAGAAGGCACCGGGGATGTTATGATGTGCTACTCCCTTGGGACACGCCTTTGCCAGAAGACTCTCTTTTACTAAAATAAAATTGAAATTTAGATATAAAAATTTAGATGTACGATTTTCACATTCTGTAACCACACTTTTTTTATTGTTCTCTTTCGAAAGGTTGCCGGCAAACTCGATGATATTTACAAAACAGGTAAATTAGCGCATGTAGAATTAGATGAGCGCGCACTCGATGCGCTCAAAGAGTTTCCGGTTGATGGTGCCTTGAATGTATTGAGTCAGTTCCTCGAATCAAATCTGGAGCATGTATCGAATAAGTCTGCGTATTTATGTGGTGTTATGAAAACCTACAGACAAAAAAGCCGCGCCAGCCAACAGGGAGTGCCAGCGCCAGCGGCCACAGTTCCAGTTAAGGGACCGGATGAGGAGAAAATCAAAAAAATTCTCGAAAGAACTGGCTACTCCTTAGATGTGACCACTGGTAATGTGTTTAGTAAAAAATTTTACCTTTTTTCAAGTTTATTTAACTTTTGTACACGTCTTTTTTTTATTTGTTTACACTTTATTTTCCAGGTCAGCGCAAATATGGTGGACCGCCACCCAATTGGGATGGTCCAACACCCGGCAATGGCTGCGAAGTTTTCTGTGGGAAAATTCCAAAAGATATGTTTGAGGATGAAATTATACCGTTATTCGAGGAATGCGGTACAATATGGGACCTCAGACTAATGATGGATCCGATGACGGGTACAAATCGTGGATATGCATTTGTTACCTTCACGACGCGTGAAGCAGCCTCAAATGCCGTACGACAGGTAGTTTGAAATTCATTTGTTACTTTTTGTATATGAAAAAAAAAATTACGCGTAAAGCTAAGAATAAATAAACAAACAAATATATATGTATATATTTTATATGCAAACACTTTATCAGAGTTGCGAACACAAGAGCTTATATATTTATGTAGCTTTGTGAAAACGAACAGTAACTCTTAATTATATGTATATGTATATACGTACATATTTAGTACTATTTACCTACCTATTGCATTCAAAAACAAAAACAAAAAACGCTTTAATCGATTGTACTATAATTTCTTTTTGATAGTATAATTTTAGGCACCAAAAAACACGTTTCTTTTAGACCGAGGGCAAACAAAATTTCTTCGAAATTCATTTGAAAAAAATTACACGAAAAAAAATTCAAGTCAAAAGCAAAAAAAAAAAAAAAATTTGCAAAAACTAAAAAAAACACACATTTTGGATGAATTTAATCGGATACCAACTTCCGGCCCCAGATTTTGAGCGATTGAAAAACAAAGCAAATTTTATATAAAAGAGTCCACACTTGCGACTCGTACCGTCGCTGTACCGATTATATAATTAACAAATAATTTTATTATTATCTAGTATTATTTAAGTAAGACACAGAACTCGCTCTAAGCTATTTATAAAAATGTAAAATTTAAGTATTTACTATTCTTGTAGCTGCTTTCGCGTGTTCTCTCTGTACTTTTAAGTTGTACTACTTTGCTGGAATCTTTGCTCTCTTAATTCTACAATACCGAGTAGTAGATATTTCACTTGCATTTGCATGCCGTTTCTTATATATACAAAACAAAAAAAAACAAAAGTCAAATGGTGCAAATTATTTTTTTTTGTACTCATACAATCATTGAATTGAATGCAATCAAATATTTTCAACCGAAAATTCTACTTAACAAATTAGACCCCCAAAAGTTAATGAAATTAAAAACTGAACAAGAAAAATGTGGTTAATTTTACAAAACAACAAAAACGATTTGAAAAGCAGTCTCTAATGCTCCAAAATATTTCAACCTTCCGTTCAAGTAGTTTAGCTGCCTGTCCTTTACCAAGCCCCCGTTTCCTTATTTTATGTAGTTAAAAATATTTCCATTTATTTATTTTTTTGATTGTTTTTCTTAATTAATTTATTTATTACACGCGTCAACGGAACGGGCCGTAGTTATAGTCGATTTATAAGGCACGCTTTTGTAAAAAGATTTCCATTCATTTAAACACTAAACTCAGGATTTCGGTAAAAGTCAGGTGTAAAAATCAGGGAAGTGAGCCGGATTACAAATTAGATCAGTTGGGTTCAGCGCTTCGAACCGGTTTTGCACTTGTCGATTAGTTCGTCAGAACGGCGTTTTCTTTTCTTTTACCCGGTTGGGGAATTAAAAAAAAACGTTGTACATACATACATATGTAGATATAATTGTGTTTTTAAAAAAAATATCATATTGTAAACAAACAAAAGGTGTGGAAAAATTTTCTATTAAAAATTTATTGAAACGAATGTACTTTCAAATAAAAAAAAACGCTGGAAAAAGTACAATTGTACCTACTCTTTCATCACTGCACTTCAGGTAATTTTACACCTTTTTATGACAAAAAATAAGATTCTTCAAAAAACATGATTTTTTATTCATTGATAAATGATTTCAAATATTTTTCCAAAAAACGCTTAGCTCTTGCCGGCCAATGGGTCTAAAAGTGGGGCCTGTTTTTAATTCGTTGTTTTATTGAAAAAGTTTAAATGCAGTTTTTTTGCAAAGGTTCATATTAAGAAAAAAATAGCATTTAGTTATTAAAGTTATTTTATTAAAGAAAAGGTTTATTTTTGTAACTACGAAAAACTACTTTTTGCCACAAAAACTGTTAAAATTGTCTATAGTGCACTGTGGCCTTGCGCCAATCGAGCAGCTGACTGTGTGTGAACACCTACGTAGGTAACTATAAGCGGTTGCTCAATTTAGAAATTAATTGCACTCGATTAAAGTTCTGTCTGAAGTAAATACTAAATAATAATAATTTTTGAATAATTTTTTATTATGATTTATTTTAAGCTGCTTTTATTATGTCTATAACTACGTGCCATTTGCTTTATTAGTTTGGTAAAGTACGAGAAATTATATGTAATTCCGAAAAAAAAAATTATTTAAAATATAGTTTTGGGGTACAACTTAAGTTTAAGCTTGAACACCCGGCGAAAAGAAGCAAACCCCCAAAAAAAAAGAAAAATTCAACGAAATTCAAAATTAAATAAAAAAGTTTAAAATTCAAAATTCCAAAATCTAAAACAATCCAAATTCTTAAAGCGAAATGCGACAAAAAAAATATCTACATATGTGCTATTTCGATTTCTCCTCTTTGCAACAACTGCGTACCCTCTCATCGTTCTCACTCCGGCAAACTTTTATGTTTACTTTAATTGAATCTCTTCAGCTTGTGTTTACTTGTTTCTTATATGTATTCTTCTTACGTACATGCTTTACTATTAGTTTAGTGTTAGTGCTGTGCTTAGTCTTCGATTTCTACCAAATTTCTTTGAATTTGCAACAAAGATTCCGTTTGAATACATTTATTTATTTTTTTTTTCTTTTAAATCGGCGTCTACAGCGTTGATATGTAGTAGTCTTGTTCAAGAAGCTGCAAAATGCAAATGTCTGGTTTTATTTTTTCAATTGCGAGCATGTCCTCTATTAAACAACAAGAAGAACAACAAATAATTTCTAATAATATTCCTTTATTTATCTTACCTCAAATTTTCCCTGACCATCTACTAATGCGAAATTACTCTCATTTTGGACACGAAATTCATGCAACGTTTAATGAATGTTGGCTTTTGAAAGCAAAAGAAAAATTATAAAATTTGCAACTTTCGGCTAATTAATTAAGTACGTCCGCCCGTCCTGCCCTCATCAAATCACTCACACCTAAACATTCTTCAACTTTACAAATCGAACTGAACTGGTAATTGTGTACGTTTAGCACCTTACAAAAACACACATACATACAAACATGCTTCCCTAGTACCCAATATTTATAAATGTTTTTTTTTTTTTTTTAAAGAATTGGAAATTTTCAATATTATTCCTAACCTATGCTCCTATTTTAGTTTCCTCCATGAAAATTTTTTATCTTTCTTACCTTTAAATATCCTGAAAATTCATTATTGTTTCAAATTCCAAAAATTCGCTGACCTTCAAATCATCGCTCAATTTGCATTATTTCAAATTTATTCTTTCGTTTTATTTATTATAACATCGTAACTTTATTATGTAACCATTTGTGCTCAGTATTTTCGTTAATTTTTGTCATATTTTATGTTTTTACCATTTTTACTACATATTTATTTATTTATTTATTTATTTATTATTTATAAATTGGTATCTTGTTTATTATTAGTGTGATCCTACCAACTACAACTGCATTACATTTACATTTACTACAACTACTGCTAAAAAAAAAAAAAAATTAACAACAATGACATAAACAAACGCTAAAACACATATAAATATTTGTATACATATTCCCCATCTACAGCTCGATAATCACGAAATAAAACCTGGCAAGTGTCTAAAAATTAACATTAGCGTACCGAACCTGCGCCTATTTGTAGGCAACATACCCAAGTCGAAAGGCAAAGAGGAGATATTAGACGAATTTGGTAAATTAACAGGTAAATTCAAAATGAAATTTTTTTCTAAAATTAAATTTTTATAAATAAAACATAATTACTATGCGCATGTGGTGGAAATTGTGAAATATATTATATGCAAATTACCGTGAAATATCATACAATACAAAGTGTGCAAGCCAAAGTGCTAAAGTGGCATTAGAAATTGTAAAAAAAAATGTACACTGCTGGCAAAAAGTATTGGCACAGATGCTTTTTTACAATATAAGCAACAATTTTTATAGTAATATTTTTGCGACAATTTTTTTTTTTTAAATATGGTTCATAGCATAACAAAATAGTTAAAAATATAATTTCTCGCGAAAATTCAGCAAATTTTCATGCAAATTTTCAACTTTTTAATCAGACTTTCTAGAATTTTTTTTAAAGTACTAAGTAGCTACGAATTAAAGTTGATTTTTAGCCATGTTTTTCCCACAGTCTCTTCCATACAAAAAAAAAATTTCGAAAATACTTTATATGGAAAAAATGCAAAACACCTTAAACAAAAAAGATTCTCAAAAATCAATGCGATTTTTTACCAACTCCGAACTTGCATTTTTATACTACAATTTAATCGGCTACAAATCTGCATACTCTAAAAAATTAAAAAAAAATCTGATTAAAATGTTGAAAATTTTGGTTTTTGGTTGAGTGCGAAAAAGTAGCTTCACTTTGTAAAATTGGACTATGTTCTTAGATCGAAATTTCAACTATGTATTTCAATGTAAGCGTATTGCTAGGAGCATATTATTGTTGATTATTTGGCGATTTAAAACTAGCAAAAAATACAAATTACTATGATCCAACAAACGTTTTGTGAAAATAAAAACGATTTTAAGTCTCCGACTGCCTAAATTATGAAATAGCCAAATTTACACCCTACTCCACTTGAATAGCCACACTTTTTTTGTTTTTTTTTTGCAATAACCAGCCTTATATTTTTAATTTTAGGCATTAGAAAAGCTCCAAATCTTATTTTGACCAATCCGGAATCTTAACGAAAAGTTGTGAAAATGGTGATATTATTTTACCTTGGCTACTTTCGTTTTTATGTGGCCCTTTATCAAGCCACACGAATATTTTTTTCATTTTTTAACTCATCATAGTGGTTTACTTTAGATTGAATCAAAAAAGTACTTTCATTTCAGAAGCCTACTCGGCAAAAAAGGAACTTTAATAATTCAAGAACAGCACCTTCTTTGCCACTTTTATCACCGGAATGTCTGACTGCAAATCGCCGGCAACGTCCTGAATCCGCGAAGTGCTCAATTGATGTATTATCTGCAGATGAGAGGGCGTCCTTAATTTAAGTCCCTTTGTGCCACTTCTCTTTAGAATCGATTATTCCTCAATTTGAGATCAAAATTAAGCTTGTTCGAGGTCCACAAGTCCAAATATTTATATGAAAACTCTAATCTTGAAGAAAAAAATGTGCCTATTCGAGTGAATTGGGGTGTACACATATACATATATTTCTATGTCCATATTCAGACATTCGAGAGAACTTTAAAGCAGACCGTTTTACCGATCATTCCTATAGCTTTGTTTGAAAAAAGTGACGTGTTGGTTAACAAATTACAAAAAAAAAACGATAATCAGAGTTATGTATCTTAAGAATCAAGAAAAAAAATTATCTACTTATGATATTTAACTTCTCAGGTAAAATTTGGGCGTATATTGTACCCAATGGCTAAATTTACTGGCAAGCTTTGTATATTACAATTAAATAATTGCATATTTTTATAACAAATTCCACAACAATTCGCATAAATAATCGCAGCAACGTATAGAAATGCGAACAATTCTAATTGGCTTGTAAAATACAAAAATCCAATTGGCTTTAATATTGGCTAACACCCAATTGGCTAATCAATGTGTAAATCGGCGCAATTGTGACAAACAACAGCAAACTCAGAAAGTTTCTAATATATGCGACGAAATAAGTGACTTTTAAAAAATAGGGGGGTGTGTATATTCACGTGGAAAAAAGCAACTGAAGTGAGTGTGCACAAAATGTTAAAAAAAAAATATGTAGTACGAAGTCTATAACTTATTTATAATTAAGTAATTTTTTTTTTTGTTTATCAGAATACACATCACTACTTAAAGACTGTCACAACTAAAAAAAAAAACACTGTATTTTTTGTTCTTCTTATGCGGAAACTACAGAAGATTTTAACACGAAATTTTTGCATAATATGAAGCTTTTTTATTTCATAATACGAAGCTTGATATAAAAAGTAATTCTGCATCGTTTACTCAAAATTTTAACTTTTTTTGAGTTATAAGTAGACAGTCTTTTTAGTAAAAGAGCGATGTGTACCTATCTGCCAAATATGATTTAGTATTATTTTTTTACATTAATTATCACCCACAATAATAATGTGCTACCACCGATTTAATCATCCGACTCTACAACTAATTTATAACTAATTACCAAATATCCTTTATCATCATTGTGAGTATCATTACTTGCATATATGTATGTATAAGCCTACCCTTAATCGTCACTGGTCATTGTCATCCACAAAGCATCTGCCTAAAACCTTAATCATTATTTATTATTATTATTATTATTATTGTTTATTTACTTAATTGATTTCAATGCCACTGAGACTCTTTTCAAATGCGTATATAACCGAAATTTCGCTAGGTCTAATAATAATAACTCACCCAAAATTCTGTAAAAATGAATAAAGCCACTGCCATATGCACATACATACATACATACATACATATGTACATACACACCACAAAGTGAAGATCTCACGAGTTGTTACAGTTTTCGACAAAAAAAAGTGTTTTTCCTCGAAATTCGTGGCACACACTTATCTTAGAAAATGCATTATCTGCCTTTTTGCGTAAAGAACAAGATTCCAGCGTGAAATTTTATTTAAATGAGATCTTAAAAAAAATATATATGTCCTAAAAGAATTAAAAATAGCAGCTCGTGCCCATATGTATATCCGTAGCTGTGTATGTAACGTATACGCCCCATGGCACCATACAGAGTCGCTACCACGTTTACTCGCACGCCTTAACTTTAAAGTCATATACTTTAAAAGTAATTCAAAGTCTATCGGCGTGGAGGATTTTTACGCAGTATTCCTCATGCAAATACATATATATTGCTTTCTTCATGTATGTGTATAACAGTTTTAGAATGAATTTGGAGTGTGCCGGTAAAAATCGCAAAAATGGAATTTTAGTTTCTCAAATCGTAGTCATCGTTTACTCAATGTAATTTTTTTTTTTCATTTGGTGGCACACTAGTTTTATTACACTAGATTCGCTCGTTTCGGCAAGAAGAACATTTTCACCGTTTAATTTTAATATTTTGAAGTATATTAAATTACTAAAATTAATAAAATCGTAAAATTTCAAAAATTACAAAATGCTGCGACAGATATTCTGCATGCTGCCATTTTTTTTTTTTAATTTGGTGGCATATTCTTGAAACTTCACATATATGCTGTACTTGATGTCAACTTTCATTGCCCTTCAATATAAACATTATGTTTAAAAACTTCCATAAATTATTAAAAAAAAAAAACAATTATGATTTCGTTACTTTTTCGCCTAATTAACGGCGGCTTAAAGCTGAAATTGTTCAAATGCTTGACTTAATTTTTATTTCACATATTACTGGACCTTCATTGTTTGAAATATATGCAAGAAGGGTGTTGTAGCGTTTTTGTTTCTGGCAAGAAAAGGAAGTGACACTACAAAAAAAAAACAGCTCGTGGGATTTGCTCATAAAATCATTCAAATATGTACATATGTCGCGCACGCACACCCTCATCCATACATACATAAGCACACCAGCTTTGTGCCGCACAATTTACATGCCTATTACATACACACACCAGCACACACACATATGCAATTTTTGTGCGTGCATACCTTCATTGTGAATGGCTATGTCGCTTAAAGTTCTGGTTCTATTTTTCTTTTTTGTGTGAAAGCCTAATGAGTTTTCCAACAAAGCTTTAGCAACAACAAAGATATCTCCAGTCATTAACTCTCGAAAATGAAAAAAATAAAACAATAAATAAATAAATATAAAACTTAAAAAAAAAACCATAAATTTCAACAACAAAAAAAGTAATAAAATTATTAAATTGTTTTGCAACAAATTTTTTCCTCAACTTAGTTCATTAACATTGATTCATAATGCATACAAACTACATACATAACTACATACGAATATTCTTAGTTTTTACTCTTATATGGTTAAGTTTTCAGAACTCATTTAGTTTTCAGTGTTTTAATAAAAATCATTGTGATTATAGTTTTGATTTAGTCAAAATTCAGTGAATAATAATGCCGCAACTCCAGGCACGCCTTGTGAGGAGATTTTCGCGAGCCCGCCAAGAAAAGCACTAACCAGATCGGTCAACACGATCTCAAGTGCTGATGTTACATTTAAACATACATACATACGACACATAAAAATTCGGCTCCAAAAATTTTATTAGCATTTACTTTTGAAAGTTTAGTTAAAATGTCCTTTAATTGGAGCTTACATACATATATGGGTATTTCCTGAAAAGTGTCAACCAAGACCAAAAAATAGAATTTTGCCTGGACAAAGCTTTTAAATGCCAATGGATAGCTGACATGACTTCAACGAACGTTAATAAAAGCCTTCATGTAGATGTAGATTTATATACAGTCAAAGCCCATGTTTTCATTGGAAAAAAAAACACACAAAAAATTATATCCATTGGAAAAAATCGGAACTTCCGAACGGGAACGTATGAACAACTTTGAACAGTTTTTGGCAGTCACTAAACATCGTTAGGAAGTTTAAGTTGATGCAATGTTTATGGCTGCTAATTATTCTAACAACCATTCATACATCGTTTTTTTTTTTGTACCATTAACTGATTCGCAGAATTTGTGCAAAAATCATCAGTCATCAACTTTCCTTATGTGTGCTACACGCTTTTGTAGGAAATCGTACCTCAAATAAAGACCAAACATTCATACTGTACGTA